TACTACCATCACTATCGACAACCCCAACCTCCGGCGATGTGGACTCGGCTCCAACCTGTCCTCATTACGATCGAACATTCGCCTGATCAGTCACTTGCGAATCCATCGCACGGATACTGGCGAATTGTTGTCTGGAGCACTAACACACTTCAAAGGCACTAGACTCAACCGCCCGCATTGCACCCTCACTTTCACCCACTGCATCGGCCTACTAGGACATATGCACATCCATGAAAACCCACGGTAGATAACCGCCGGTCATACCACGCTATCACATCTCTCCTCCCGAACATCTGTGATGCACACCAACATCAGATACTAGCACACAACACAAGCACATAATCTACGCCTCTCAAGTCGGTAGTGAGTGCTTCTCAGCTCCTTCTCCTAGTGGCTGCTCCGTTGCATGTGTAATCCGAGCCTGAGACTATCACGGTGCGCCAAGTGCCGTGGCTTGGAAGGTTACCTACTGGCGTCCCAGCTCAGTCCACGCTGTCTGCTCACATGTGTGTGTCTGTGCGAAGTGACGGGCTGGTGGGCAGATAGCCGTATTGTAACGGTTCCTTCTTAACGTGTCCTCTTGCACTCTCACGAATGTGGGATGCATGCCGCTCACTCCCTGTTGCAAGAAATCCTGGTGTTTGTGTTTGGGAGGCCAGGTCGTGCATGTGGCGCGTACAAACGAGGTCAGTAGGTATTTCATTTAGTAGAAGAAGAAAATTGGCTCTCCGGAACAGGTTTATTTAACTGACGTTTCAAAGAGCTGGGTCGGCTCTTCATTGTCAAAGCGTAAACTGCACCTAATCGATCAGAAATTTAATTTAAAGTGGCACGCTGTGTTGGCCGGCCTCATGCTGATCGATTTTTCTCTCTCCTCACGCTGCGTCGGCCTCTCAGGAAATGGTTGGCGGGCGTTTTTGCCTGTGCGCTTTATGAGTCACCACTCCGTCGAGGGGAGCTGATTGGACTTTAGTCGGGCGGTCGGTCTGGCGGTTCTTGTTCTTCCTCACCGAGTAAGTTCAGCGTCGGGCTATCTCCGTGCTGTCTTCTTAAGTCCGGTGTGGTTGTTTAGTCCTGAGCTCTACGGTTGTGATGACGTAGGACTTTGTAAGCTGCAGGAAGGTCCAGATGCCTGTTGATAGAGTGGGCATCGGAGAACCACGCCTCGAGTGTTAGCCGTTCTGTTTTTGTGTTGCCTCGGCCTAAGATGGTAGCCCTCTGGTGTGTGTGTTTGTAGTGGCAGGCCCAGTAGCAGGCTCAGGCCGCGCACGCCGGGATCCCTGCAAACCCCATCGATTCTGTGGACAGCCATAATGGCTACGTCGCGCCTCTCGCTAGCAGCTTTTTCTCTGTCCCCTCGTTCTACTGTTTACGCGCCACGGCTGCGCTCGCTAACCCTCGATTTGCACTCCCGTGCACGCCACACTCCTGGTCGAGGATTCACCACCTACGCGTGGGCTCGGAGACAATCAACGCAACTTTCTATCGTTGATTGGTTACGAGTGCACACACACGGGACGCCGCCCTTGCGGACGTGATTTGGAACAGACAGCACAGAGGAAAGAAGGCCAAAACACTTTTGCAGCGGCGGCCTTCGGCGACACACGGCCCGTCGCTCCCGCGGAAGCCGCCTCCGCGGCGCCGGACGCATCCTCGTCCGGTTGCCACCTTTCCTTCATTATTCTGTACAGAACAAATAAATCATTTTCCTCCTCAACTGGCATCCCGCTTCTTCCAACATGGGATATGGCCTGAAGTTGTGGCGTACTGAGCATACACCATTACCGCTTAGACGCTACAATTCGTAGGTCAAAATCCTAGTCTAGTGTTTTTTGTGAACCAGGGGATGTGGTAGCACGCCTAGGTGCTGATCCGGCCGTGCCCGTCACCTACGCCCTCTCCCGCCTCTTGTCTTCTGGACTACGTCTAGACATCCCGCTTAGGTATGGGAGGATTGTAGAGTGCAGTGGGCGCATCGACAGTCTACTACCACCGTACAAGAATTCACGCGCGAACCGTCGCGCCTGCTCTCACCCTGCTGCAGATCACGCGGTAGAAATCGTCTGCAACGACGGTCGAACTGTCATATCGAGTTCATTTCTCTGACTTTTAACGTTGTTTTGCCTTGGAATTCGGGTTTTTTTAACCTAGAACAAGTTCCTAATTCGTGGTCTATTGACTAGGCAGACACAAAAACAAATGTAGTCAGAGTTTGCTGTAGCCTTTTTTCTGTGTTCTAAGGAGACTGGCAACGCCCAAGAAGTGCTAATATAACCCAATTTTATTTTATAGATTAAAGCTCGGTTCGACGTCCGACATAACAGATTCATTTATGGAAATTGTGCCTTCTCCACATTGTACCAGACATGTCCGATTCCACGCCAACCATCGTCGATTTCCATAATTTTCACTAGTTTTTTTGGTCACCCGGTTCGTTTACCGTTCCTCTTTTTTGTTTCCCCCCGTTCACTCGTCAATGGTCTTGCTATGTGGTTCTTAGTGGATATAGATTATCCTTTCGCTGGCTGCCCAGACCCGAGACTTCCCCTAACAGTTTCGCACGTGGCACTCTAATGGCCAGTTAAGTCTTGAATCCAATGAAAATTCCAGCAAGTGAGCAATAATTTATTCACTCATATAGTCCTTAACTTTACCCCCCAGATTCTTCACATACGGAACAAGTTTGAGCCGTCCCCGTCTCAAGTCTCTGACTCTACCTCCATACATGTTCCCGCTAAACGTCCTGGTAGCCATAAAAAATTTATCCACCACTCAAGTTCTCATAGGAGGCCGGCATGTTTTTAGGGAATCTTCAGATTTCAAACCGGGATCCGGATTAACATCTACCTTTGAGACGGAAACTTTGGAAATATCTGATTCCGAAACTCTTGGGCGTGCGATCGCCACCATAGTCACAGATGGAGGCAAGCCGGCGGAACCTGGCAAGAAGACAGCAATGTGCATGCCTCATACAAGAAATTGGCTCCCGACTTAAAACGTGAGTATTTTATATCTATAGACTCACTTTTGGGCTCAGGACTCAAGTCGTTATTAATGCCAGCTTGTACTACATGCACCACTTTTACGAGGTCTTCACGCCTGAGGCTATCAAACCTATTATGGTGGCCCTTGCTTCCTTCTACATTGCCTGTAAGACCGAAGACTTCTCCCGGAAGCTCTTGTTTCTCGTGAAAGCAGCCTATGATGCCCTTCGGAAGCCTATGCCGAACGAAAACTCGGATACATATAAACGAATTGTCCAGAACATCCATTCCCTTGAAGCCACTATTTTGATGGTTATTGGGTTCCAAACCCTTGAGGTTAAACAGCCACATGTCATCCTGATTAACGTCATCCGAGAAAACAAGTTTCCAAAGGAGATTTCTCATACCAGCTATTACATCTGCACAAACATACTCCACCTTACAACGCTCGTTTTGCGGCATTCCATGGAAGCTATAGCGGCCACCAGCCTTTACATTGCGGCCAAATGGAATGGTTCTGACATTAAGTGTGCCAACGGAGAGTGGTACCACATGTTCTCCCCAAAACTGACTTTGGAGGAAATAAAGAATATGGCTGATGAATTTACTCTGACATTCCAGGAATGCGACGCCAAAATAAAAGACCAGCTCCGACTGCTTCTTAAGGTACTGTCCCTGAGTTACCAGCATATGTTCATTAGTCGAGAAGACTGGACCGGCTGGCGCGGGAGGATCCAAATATGCAGCAGCGAAAACTAAATGAGAGCCAAGCCAAGGTGAGCAGCGATGTTATTGTCTCTCTTCAAACATGTGGATCAACGTCAGCTGATGTGGCAAATTTGCGGGTGCTTACTAATCGCATTTGAACTCTTAATAGGGTTAGACTTGTTCATCACGGGGCGTTCCCGGGCCGAGGTCTTGACGAGTCTATCGAAAATGGTTGTCTCAGTGTCCTCGTCTTTGTCGGTAAAAAAAACTTCACAATCATTGACTCCGTTCCACTGTGCCGCAGCGCGCGTTGGCCCTAAGCCATTAGCTCCAAGACGAATTAGAAATGCCGTGTCCGCCCCGTAATCGAGACAGCTCGGTGCACGCCACTCGTTTGAATAATCCCACAAGCGCCTGAAGCTGGCTCGGTGCGTAATACTAACGCCCGTGCCTGAAATCGTACGTCTCGAAATGTTCTTTGTAGCCCCGGCTTTTGACACGTGGTGTGGCGCTATTTTTCACAAGAAAAATCACTTCCACTTTGACTTTATAACTCATGGGGATCCTCTTTTTACTTGATGTGTGAAAGCCTCGTCAATCGCCAGTTCGTTCACAGCACCTAATAGATAAATGCCTCATATGTCTCTAGTTATAGCTGTCAATGCTGTCCAACGGCTCGCTGAAGATTATTTCAATACCCGCGTGTAATGTCAAAATGCCACGATGAACTAGCCACCCTTCATCTGAAGATCTCGTACGCGCCTGTCGGTGGTTGGTAGAGACGTAAGAAGGGGGAAGCATGCATTAACAGCAACCTAAGCTTCACTAAACCAACGTATGCTTTCACGCACGCACGCTCGAGAAAACTAGGACGCTTTCCAGTGCAAATTCGAATGTCTTAAACATCCAACCCACTTCTGTGTGGTCATGCATACGTCCCGAACTTATCTCTTTTATGAAGCAAAATTGTCGCGTTGAAAAACGATCGCATGAAACCCCACCCCCTCGAGGCGTTCAGCGCCCTGGTCAGCCTATCCAACACAGCAGAAGCAGTGGCGAGATCGCCTTCCGCCAGTCGCAACCGCAGCAGCATCCGGTGCGCAACGGATATGGAGAACCAGATAGTAAAATGCAACGCCTGGACCGCGGTGTCTTCTCCCCTCAAAGCCAGCCTTTCCAGATGATGGAGTCCGCCCATAGAGTATGTACAACTTTCTCCTTTTCGAGATTTCCTTTACTTCATTCTTCGGTTATGATCTAGTTTGTACGGCAGGTTCACCTGGCCGTCCCAAAATTCTTGTGCATGAAACACCAAGTGTCTCCTTTTTCGGGTCTCGCCCAGTTATACTTACCATAGCTTCTTGTTCTTTCGTTGTCTTTCCCACCCTTCTCTATACACCTGTTTATGTGGAAAGAAAACAGTGCGCCTAGTTGCGGGAGACATCGACTAGCAAATGTGCTTGCGTATTCGACGACCTTGTTTAAATCTGTCTGAATGATCCTTTTAGACGATGGAACTGCTGCGAACTCAGTAAATCAGGCTCCCTCTTTAATTATTGTGTCAGTGTGCGGGGTCTTTTAGCATTCCGACATCACTTGTGCTGCTGCTTATTGAAGTTACTTCCTTTCACCCTCTCCAATATGTCCACACCTTGAAATGTTTGCTTATCACACGGGCAATTTAACACAAAACCTGCGGTGATTTCGGTTTCGGCCGTGCGTCGACTTTGCGGACTGTGTTGTAGAGCTAACGAGCCTGTTGATTCAGTACGAAGGACGGCGACTTTATCCCACGTTAACCACTGCAACCGGCCTAGCCAAAAGTGGACTTCACTCAGTTTTGTCACTGACAGGCAATGTGGCAAAAGCTGAGGCCGATCCAACTACCCAGTATACCCTTACCAATAGAACTCTTACGCTCTTACAAACTTTCAAGACACGCTAGGAATCTTGACTCGTGCGATGATTCGGTCCTTGGAAATGAGAGCTAGGTTATAGTGACTCCGTTCCAATTTGGTCTTATGGCAGCTCTCACCAGCGTATAATCCAAGTTTATGAAGCCTGCATCCTCTAGAGCAGGTAATCAGCACGTCTGAAACATGCATAGATGAGGGCTAGCCCATTTCCTGTCGTCTCGACCTTGTCTGGCCACAAAAACACGGTCAATGTGAGGGGGGTGAGGTAGATACTTCGAAAGCCCCCCCCCCTTCTATATTCCAAATGATCTGTCAGTCATCACTGCCGACCCAAGCAACCATAGTAATCATTGAGTACGACGGACGAACCGTTGCAAGCGAACTTGACGCGGTAGGGGGATGCCATTCCTTCGAAGACTACCGTGGATCTGAGATGGGACAGCCGAACTCTCTGTAAGACTGCCGGTGCCAGCATCAATCTGTCTTAACCGCTGGCCAACAGCACATGTGACTGCGATTAGATTTAAGTGGTCAGGGTCAGACAGCGGCTTGGTGAATGGCTTTTGCTATCTTCGGCCGAACTTTGCGCCAGTCGAATAAGACACAAATAAGTTTGACCACTGGATCAATCGGGTGCACGCGACCTTCGTCCAACCCTGTCGAATTCTATGAAATCAACATAAGATCAGTCATAAGAAAAAGTCACGAGTGAATTAAGCTCCATTCGAAAAAAATCTTTCCCTACGGATTTCAGGCATGGCACTTTTGTTCTATTTGTAAATGACACTTTACAGTTTTTCGCCGGTGGTGTTTGCACTTCGTTCCCCAGACTCATCTCTTCAATCGCGTCTCCAGTCACCGGGTATGTAGGCGGCCAGAGACTCAACCTCCAACTATGCTCTCCTTACGCGTCGATTGAGACGGCCCGGCTTTGTGCTGCGCCGACCTGAAGACGAAATGGTTCAGGTTGTCACCTGACTAACTGGTGGAGGTGGCGGCGGAACATTACTAAAATTGACCTCCAACGTGTTTGGGACGTTGAGGATTTTGGTCAGCCGAGCTGCTGGGCTAACTAACTCATTTTCATTCGGAAGTTTGTCGCTGACTGATTGCAATGAAAGGCGATCATTTATGATGCAATAGGCCTGTAACATGGAACTAACTGTGTCGGTAATTATGAGAGCCCTTACAAGTTGGAAAATCTTGCTAAACCATGACTCACCAACCAGTGGTTATGTGGAGCGGCCTAAATGATGAATGGGCTTCTGTAATACCTGGATCGAGAGGTTTTTGTCCCCTTATACTCGGCGCACCAAACTGGGGTGTCAGGATGGTGTTGAACGGCAGTATGTGAAGGCTTACTTGATAGCGAGCAGAACTCTACCTCGCAATGCCGTTATTGATGGTGGCCGTTCTAAGTGAGCGGTCTATAAAATCAGTGTCTAGTAACGTCAGATGATATTAGCGCTGCATGCTCGGCGATCGCAGATTCGCCAGACCCAGAGACCTGCTTATTTCATAGCAATCCGTGACTGGAGGTCGTTCGTCTGTGAACGCGTCGGTGCTATCATCCCGGATGAAGAAGTTGAATGGCGCTGACACCGCAGCATAAGATGAAACTTGTCGGAGGTCACTTACCCCTTCAAACGATGTCGACACTGCCCACAGGTGCCTTAGCGTCTTCGATCCAAGTCAAACCATTATTCTTGATTAAATGGCGGTGACGGCAGCAGTGTTCGAGTCGCAGGGGGTCTTTTGCACATCTGCCGACTGGCAAGGTAGTCTTTGGTTAAGCACGTGATTCATCAGGTCTGTTCTGTTCCGTGCTAGTGCACGGGCTTTCATGTGATGATGTAGCAGTGTTGCGCAGACTTGCTGTCTCAGTCCGCCTCCCCCTATCTCTCGCGTGGTTCCGAAGTGAAGTTTTGCTTCCTTATGCGAGTATCTTGTCTATACAACGACTGTTTTATCTTAACAGCCCTAGTTTACATTAAACACCAGTCATCATGACGGCTCCCGAGAGGGGCTCGCGGGATACCAGTATTGACCGACTCGTGTGCTAAGTCTGAAAGTGCGGACCTCCAAAAGTGACTGCACCAGCGCTTTAGACTAAATGAGGGCCGCTTTTCACTGAGCGGCGCCTTACACCACCTCGAATGTCTCTCCCGATTTCGTTATCTCCGCCCAACTTGGCTCAGACATGCCATCAGCACGAGATAGGAGAAGAAAAAGAGGGGCTATTCCCGCGCGTACTTTCCTCATAATTAATAATCCGGATGTCCTTCGTTGAGTTACCACGATGTCCCAAATGTTATGAAATTTAAGGTTATCGACCGAATAACTCGGCCCGGTTCCATTTGATTGAGGATCGAGCCTCCGATGGTGGTTGTCTCGCGTCTGACGTACGCTTTGCTACATCAAGGGAGAAGGGGCTAATTACTCTACGCAAGACCGAAATAGACCGGCTTTGTGTCTGGAAATCACTAACAAAGCATGGAAGGCATTCGAGCAGCGAGCGACTATCAACCACACACCCATTGGAAGCTGGCCAGAAGGCGCCCCCGTCCGTGATTTAGCATCTCCAACTAGCGCAAAACGCTGTCAGGTGTTGCTTTTTGTCCTATGCGGATGACAGCAGCCTTCGGATGATGGGTTGTTGCGCTCCAAGCGAGCCCAAACCTATTCACTACCCAGTGTTGCGTCAGGGATAACCGACTAGAGATCTGGGAAGGGTGATGGTCTATGAGGACCCAAGTATCACGACCGGTCAGGACGATTTGTTAGCTCTGTGTCCCGGAGGTGTAGTCGCAGAATGGCGTACGACTGCCTATTTATCATCAAACCCAAGGACCCACTTGTTTGACAGTAATCCCACGACTAAGACCGTTCCACACTCCGCCACCCATGAACGCGCTGGGTAACTAGACTGACAAAAATAAACTGTAACGTCTAACTAGTGGGTGTACTCACCACCACCACCACCACTGTCACTACCCAAGTCTGTTTTAGAGAAGGGTGGAGATCGGTAGAAGTGCTGTTCAGGGCCCCCTACGTGCGGCCGGCCCTGGGCCTGTGCGCACGCCTGTCCGCCGGTGTGACGCAGGCGTGAGTGCATAAGCGTCATGTGAGAGGTAGACTGTGTCGGCTTGATCCGTTGATTGGGTGATGGCCGAGTTTGTCGGCGCCTGTGATTGGCTGTCCCAGAGGCCGCATGTTTCAGCAACTCGGACGCCGTGACCACATAGTTTCTAGACCTTACATAGGTGCGCCAGATGCGGAAACCCTGTACGCGCGTGAGGCGCTTCAGAGCTAAATGAAGGCGACTTTGGGAAGTGCTTTGGAGTCTATGCAAACCGAGTGTCAATTAAGAACGTTCGTGGGTTGCACCTGTGTGAGGCTGAGATCGACTAAACGACCGCCCCCTTCTATCTTAACTGGGCCGAATTATTTATTCTCAAGTATCCTCAAATATTTCCACTCACCCTCTGTACTACTGAGTTTCGGGCTCTAGTATTGACGATTTTTTGCTCCTTAAAACTCCTTTTGTCAGGTTTTTATGTATCACTTCCTCGATCTGGTGCCTCCGTTGTCTGCTTCACAAATATTTTTTCAATTTTTCGAGTGACCGTGTTTCCTTAACGATGGTTCAACCTGTTATCATTTGACCGGTATTAGGGAGAGGGCCCGTTGGGGTTCGTCTACATTAGTGTCATTCTGTTTACATACAAGTCCAAAACGGACGACTCTAATTCCTGAACTTTTTTGCCGTGGCGGGCATCTTCTGTCCCATCTGGCGACTACTGTGCCGCATGTACATGTGTTCAGTCAGAACTGGATCAGGGACCCTAGCCTACGTCCAAAATTGTACAAAAATACAAAAATGCCCTCTCCATCACCATGCTCATGTGCGGAACATCCCCCCCCCCCCTAAGGGCATGTAACTGGCGCTAATGACCTCGGGAGCATCAGCGTAAGTACGAGTTATTTGCTCGCTCTAGAAATTGCTCTTATGCCGAAAGGTTTCGAACCTATTGAGCGGCGTGTTCCTTCCCGGGGCACACTAGATTCCTGCTAACCTTGGCGCCAAACTTGTCAGACGTACTAAGTGGCTGACCCGATTTTCTGGAGTTCGAGTAAATGATCACTGACTAGAGGCATTTTCAACACCCGGGTCTATCCTCTCTCGTTCCTTTTTCCTGGATGTAATCTGTAATTTGTACGGTTTTCGTATCACAATGTGTGACTGCACCGGCCATCTTCTCCATCGACTGGTGATGACTAGTGGTGGGCGGACAATTTGACCCGACAATGTTACATTTTTCCCTGGCATATCTGTTGTGTGTGAACGACTCACGTGAGTACGCGACCGGACCTGACCTTTTTCAAGACAGACGGTCGGGGTGGTTTGGGTACGTTCTTCGTTATCCGTTTCTCATAAGACTCGGTGTTGCGGTCCTCTACCTGGCGCTGCTGCTCGATACGGTTAGTTGAAACATGGACCTGGTTCTTGGGCCTTCCGTTTTCGGTCTCCGTCGCTGGAGGACAGAATGCGTCGAGCTCTCTAGATCCGCTGCTGCAGATCGTCACGCGTGGTGAGGCATAATTCGCGGTATTGTCGAGGACGGTTAGATCAGGTACGATTTCAAATGCATCAAGTACAGTAGGTGGGCCAACTCATGAAATGTCAACCGGAAAATCCAAAATGCGTCTCCGCATCGAAAAGATTAATTAAGTAGGGTTGTAAAAGTAGTCAGCCTGAAACAGAATTCCATAATAATTCAGTTACCTCAGGATGCCGGCTTTCGAACGAACTTCCTTCCGGCTGCATGCAAAAACTATACTCTGTAAAAAAGACTACATAAGTAGCACGAATTTTTCTCACTGCTTTTCGATGTCCCTAAAAGTCCAATTATATTTCATGGGAAACGTGCATAAAAATATTCATTCTTTTGCTCATTTAGTAAAAAAAATTACGTCTTCTTTCAATTTTACACTAGAAGGAAGGCTATATTTTGGTTTTATAAAACTTTCCCAATTGCCAAATAATTTTGAACCCGCTCTGCCGTCACACTTGCATTCAGGCTTTCCAAACTACAAGCCATGTATTTTCCGCGTACGGAAAACCAGGCATTTCTCTACGGTACTAAGAGGAGACCATATAGGTTTCATAACATGTAGCAGTGGACTTGATCCATATTGTTAGCTTTACAAGCCACATTGGTAAATGTAGAAACATGACGATTTATGAACGGCCATTTCACGGTATTAAAAAGTCTCACAATTGCAAAATTTCTTAAAACCGAATTATGTCTCGCCGAGTATGAACCTGGAAGGAGACGTAATTTTCTATAGAAAGAGTAAAAGCAGTAATATTTTTAGGCATTTTTTCCACAAAATATAATTGGACTTTTAGGGGGCATCGAAAATCAAGGAGAAAAATTCGTGTTTCTTAAGTAGTCATTGTTACGGAGTATAGTTTTTGCATGCAGCCGGCATCCTGAGGTAACTGGATTATAATAGAATAATACTTCAGACTGATTAGTTTTACAGCCCTATTTAATTTATGTTTTCGAAGCGAAAACGAATTTCGGAATTTTGATTGACATTTCATGAGTTAGCCCACCTACTGTACATATACGACCGAATCCACTGTGCAGTTGACCCCCTGCTTTCTACACCCTCGACTGCCACGGACCTTACCCGCCGCCGTTGGCATCTCGTGGACGTACTCGTTTGGCCCCGTCAACCCCTGCACCAATTATACGCCTTTCCGACCACTTGACTAAACTTTCGATCAATAGATCGTCTCCTTGTCAGTCTATTTTCTCAGCCTCACCTTGGCTCAGTTAAGCCGAGTAGGTTCGCAAACTGTTTTTGTCCCTCAAAGTTTGGACTGAGTCAGCAATTGACCCTATCAGTGGTGGTCAGTGCTCCACCCCCCCCTCCCCCCCCCTATCCGTCCCTGCCTCAGCGGACAATTCTTGTGCCATTTAAATAACCCCGCTCCTGCATCTCGTCCTTTTAGCAGGGCGTCCGACCAGATGCAGGTCCTGGCCTTAATTACTCACACAACCAGTCTGGCCCTCGCTATGGCGGAAGTCGGGAGGGCTCTGTCGACAGCCGTTGGCAGGGCGACAACGATCCGTATCAGCAACAGCAGCAGCAGCCGCCGCCGCAATACCTCATCAACCCCGCCACGGGTCAATCAATGCCTCTGCATCGAGGTCCCGCGGACCGGGTCAGTTTTTGCCCGCTACCATTCCTCTGCTTTGTGCACTTGCCGCTGGTAGGATTTTTACCCTCATCAGGCCCCGTTCCTGCTTTCCATCCCACCTAGACTCCTCTCTTCTGATGCCATTTACGGTAGCTGGGCCATCTCGTAAAATGTTAACCGGTAATGCTGTAGTGTGTTTTCGATCAGAACGGATTGCTTAGGTGCAGTTTTCATACTGATTACCGCGTGTAGCATAATCGAAAGGTATTGCAGTCACGCCAGGATGTCGGCTTTTGAATAAGCATCTTTTCGGCCGTCTGCAAAATCCGCACTGTGAAACATGACTACTTACATGATAGGCATTTTTCCCGTCGATTTTTGTTGCTCTTATAAATTCAAATATGTTTTATATAGAAAATATATACATGAAAAGGTATCTTTGGGTTTTAACAAACGTTTCCGATTCAGAAAAAAGTCGAGCCCCACTAGCAGTTACACTGCATTCTGTATACGTTTAATGCAAGGAACATCACGCCGGCAACTTTGGGCGTTAACGAACGCACAGATGTGAATAGACATCTCACGGTCTTACAAATCTCATAATTGCAAATCATTTTAAACCTAGCGATACCTTTTTTTCAAGTGTAAAATTTAAAGAAGACATAATTTGCTACCAAATGAGTACATGAAGGGATATTCCTGTGCATGTTTTCTATAAAATATATTTGAATTTTTAAGTGCATTACAAATCAATGAGAAAAAATCATACTACTTAGCAACCTTTTTTACCAAGTGCGGTTTTCGCAGGCGTCAGAAGAGGGTACACTCGAAAGGCGGCATCCTGTAAAACATGACTACTTAGATGTTGGGCATTTTTCCCGTCGATTTTTGTTGCCCTCATCAATTCAAATATGTTTTATATAGAAAATATCTACAAGAAAAGGTATCTCTAGGTTTTAACAAACGCTTCCGATTCACGAAAATAACTGAGCCCCACCAGCAGTAGCACTGCATACGTTTATTGCAAGGAACATCACGCCGGCAACTTTGAGTGTTAACAAACGCACAGCTGTGAATAGACATCTCGCGGTCTTACAGATCTCATAATTGCGAATTATTTGAACCAAGTGATACCTTTTTTCAAGTGTAAACTTTAAAGAAGGGATATTTCTGTGCATGTTTTCTATAAAATATATTTGAATTTATAACTGTATTACAAATCAGTGAGAAGAATGATACTACTTAAGCAGCCTTTTCCAGCCAAGTGCGGCTTTAGCAGGCGGCAGAAGAGGTGTACATTCGAAAAGCACCATCCTGGCGTGATTGAGATATCTCGGGACTATGCTGCACGATATTCTGTGCTACAACACCTCCCAAGTAACATTTTCTAACCGAAAATACCGATAATTTCGGTTTACATCTCATGCTGTAGACTAGAAACGCTGCTAGATGTTTGGCCCTTATAGAAGTACGTGAGCTCGGGCGGTCTCTTCATCATCCGTTCGCTTGTCAGCCCTCTCCACTCTGACTACTCTAAATGACGGTACTTTTATAACTCCTACAGGCTCCCACCGTCTCCAATTTTACGGCATAATGGATTTCATAGTCCTCGGTTTACAAAATCCCTCGACATCACTAGGTATTGCAGACTGCCACTGATTCCGACTTGGGAACTCGGGGACGAATTGGAACTACTCCCCCCTGTGACCGGAAAAAAAGTTGATTTCACGGATTTATTGAAGTGTCCACTATGATATGCGGGAAGAGGGTTGGTCACCTACAGCGCGGTCGCCAGGTTCGCCTTTTTATTCAAGGAACCTGCAAGCGCGTCAGTCCGACCATCGGGAACGACAACGTTCACCCTGTGCCCCCAGAAGATTTTGGCGCAGGACGATGATTTGTGTAGTAAATAGTTTATAACGAAGCGCGCAGTATGTACCGCACTCCTCTCTCACCCATCTGGACCCGGTAGCAAGACAGAGGGCAACGGTATGGAGAAGGACCCCACTTAACTGTCAGTAGACTGTGGATCGTATCATGGGGTCTTATCCTGGCATACGTTTGCAGGCTGTTGCAGAAATCACATTGCCAACAACGATTACTTCCCACGACCTCACATCTTAACTCAAAGCCCGTTATTTTGTGAAATTTACTTTTTGTCTATTTAGTTACTACACTCATTTCCGTTGTCGTACAATAGCGTGGGATAAGACTTTCGGCATAAATCAGTCAATTTCTGTGTTTTCTTTCATTTTGTCAGCTTACTGTCTAGCGTGCTGCCCCACCTATAAAACTCCAATTATCATAAGTCACGTATGACACGATCCACAGTCCACTGACAGTTAATTGGGGTCCTTCTCTATACCGTTGCCAGACAGAGTCAGGACGACCGGAGGTGGACTCGAGTACGCTGACTGATAAAGCTAAACAGCTCAGTCTACGCGTACCATATGCAAGACCTGGTCTGCGCATAATGGACCGGGATTCTCACGGAGGGAAAAGGAGACGGCTCGCATCCCATTTGCGTAGGAGTGCCATAAACGCCACACCCTGAGGGAACCATTGCAGCCTGACTTTCCGCCTTGAGAGGACTGAGCTAACCCGTCAGCTGGCAGCCTTCCAAGCCATGACTTCTAACACTTTCTGACAGCTTTAGAGTGCTCCAGGTGTTCCCCACGCGCCTGCCAAACCCTCACGATGCCGATGAACACCTCGTTGTTGATGACGCCCTTTGTTGGCCTCCGAATTTGATTGTCATCCAAACTATCAAGTGTGGGAGGTTCTTGAGATGTTTGGTCTGTGCAATATGGCCAATTTGGAAGCTCCTCCATTCGCATATTACCACATGAGCTTCACTCACAGGCTTTTCGATAATAAGACCTGATCGGAGAAAAAAGTGCTCCCGAACGAAGATTAATGATCGGCAATGCCCCTTAGTAGATAAAATACTTTCTCGACCAATTTCCTGGCTGATAAAAAGCATCATTCCGACGCCTTCACCGTTTTCCTTGTTGTGCACGTAGAGAACATTGGCATGTGCTCCCTGTGAATATACAGCTTTAAGAGGCATATGACAATGCTTCTGGTGTGTGGCAAATAACGTTGCCTTCTCGCCTGTCTCCCTAATAACATTACACTCGCCCATGGCCAGCTCACACGGTTGGTATTGTGATTGACTGAACCTGCAGGCGTAATTCGCGCATCAGTCACTTCGCGTGCTTGGCGCAGACGAGACGGAGGCGGGGTACAATGTCATCAGGATTTTAGACTGTCTGGGTCCACCTGGTGTTGATCAAGAACTGACTGCCTTCAGCGAGGAAGCTCGATTCATGGGACATCGGTTGGTTCGTGGCGGAGGTGATAAGGTAATCGAGGTTGTCTGAAGTGCTTGATCTCGTTGGAACGTGAGCGCAGGACAGCGATGATGATTCGCGATCGCTGTACCGTAATTGGGAGTTTTGGGTATTTACGGGACGGTCGGGGCGTTAGACCCGAAGGTGTACCGACTTTGCTTTGGTGGTCTTTACTGGTGTCCGTCCCACTATTCATCACCCGGGTAAACATCAGCCAGGCAAGCCTGTAGTTGGTGGAACTGTAATCATTCCTGACCTAGCCGGCCTCGATGGTGTCGCGCGGATTGTAGCTCGTCACAGGCGACGGCCAGTCGGGAGAACTCGACCCATTCCCTCCTCCAAGGACGGAGACGGAATACCTAGGAGGTCCAAGAGCCCCCAGGTGGGCTCGACATAGTTGATCAAGACACATGGAAGTGGTTCTTGCACCTTCGCTGTCCGGTCTCCGTCGTTGGCGAAGAGAAGGGGTTGAACTGTCCAAATCTGTTGCCGCGGATCGTCACGCGTGAAGAGGTGCAGTTTGGGATATAATCGAGGCCGGTTAGGTCAGGCATGATCGCAGCCCTACTAGGTACAAAGAAGTAAGTACTTTCTACTTCTTTACAACTCTACAATTAAAGACGGTGGCGTCCAGGTTGGTTATCCAGAGCAAAGGCAGGACGACCTGAGTCTTGACACTTCGTTCCTCTTAACTTGTTCCGTAGGGCAGTTCAGTGCGCCGTCGCTTTGACCGTCTACAATGTGTAACCTAGCCTACTTTCAATTTTAAAAGGCAGTACTTTTTCAAAACTGCCCTTATCTAAGCGCCACATCTAGACCGAATCGGTCTCCGCCGCTTTTGCAAAAAGTCCTTCGGCGAACTGTGCCTGCATTCTTGGTCATATGTACAACTGTATACCCGAATCTTGTAGAGAACCTGGAAACATAGATAACTATGCAATATAAGTGGTTTATAGATATTTCCTTATAGTACATTGTATGTGCAGCTTCCTCTTTCTGTCTGTCTGCAATGCATAACTTCATGTTCTGCGCGTACATTTGTGTGTGTCTGTCGTGTTTCCTCGGTTGATTGCGCTTCCTACAACCAGCCACGCGGGTGTTGCACTGGAGTAATACGGGGACGGGATCGCGGTCCGTCCCCCACGTTAATAGGCTGTACGTTTATAACAAATGTCCGTACCTGGGGGGTGGTATGGTGGCACTCCTAGGCGCAGACTCACGCTGCGCCAGTCATCTGCACCCTCCTACCTCCGGTCATCTTGACTTTGTCATGACACCGGGGGTTCAGCGGGTAAGGGAGGGGAGCGTGCAGGAGATGCTTCACAAGTCTTCTGTTACTGTAAACTAATTTTCGCGCATGTCGCCGTCCCCGTGCCGACCATACCGTAGGGCACACGACGGTCGAACTGTCGCCCCGGCTGGTGTGTGCCTCTGATTTTTATGTATGTCGATTTGACCAGCCCGACGGTATCAATTGTGAGCGTTTATCTTTCGTCAGGGACATCTCCATACTGTAACAGATTACAAAATATTACCTACGTTTACTGGCTTAATGGCTTTCAGGCTGGTTAATTTCTCCCCCTTTTTTCTGAATCACCTTGAGAATTAACTCCCTTCACTGATCGCCCTACGGGACATGCTCGTCCCCTATGTGTCGTCGCATGGCAACCGCTGAAAGGGGGACCCTACGTGACCGGGGAGGCTGAGATGGTCATTTCTGTGTCTCATTAGCCGTCATCAGCTAACCAACCACACGGGAGGACAACAAGCATGTCCCACAACCCGATCAGCGAACACAATTCCAGCCCGGGGTTGTTTCTTTGTTTACCTGGTCGGGACTGTCCCAGCTGCCGGCCACGAGGTCATATGACCTTAACAGGGAGGCCGGTCGCACACCTGCAGCCACACATGCCCGCCTCCTTCCACCTTCCGGTCTTCACCGAACGCAGCGCGGACTGGCGGCCAAGGGGGTATTGATCGCCCCTCGTCGAGGGTTTCGCCTGGGCAGGGGGGGGGGAGGGATACTTACCAGTGGCAGGCTGACTCCTCCTTCATTAATGCCCTAACCCTCGGATTAGGCGGTATTCACACTTTCGCCCACGTTCATATAATTCCCTCACAGAATTCTTGCCAAAAGTTTTCTAACCTCTGTTTTTATCTAACCCGAAAATGTGAGACTTTTCGGAACCTGCTCACTAGGGTCCATGCATGAAGTAGTCTAGTATGGAAATAAAACATTCTTAGTTTAAAATAACCAAGATTTTGCACTTCACACTTTTCCCGAACTGATGTTCCACCGATGAACCATGAACGTACGTAACTGAGCCCAACAAGTCTGTATTTCTCTCAATATTACTGTCAAGGAAGCGTTGGGAAACTCCTGCGTCACGGACCGATATGCCGGAGTAGTATTTTAAGTAGAAAATCGCTAAAATGAGACCTAGATGGGGCATACTTTTGGGTTGACCCATACGCGAGGAGCACGCTGACTGTCAGTTGATAGCACTTTCAGATACCTCTATTCACCAATTTTCCGTCTTAGTGGTGTTTTCTGAGAGATCTGCAAAGACCGCCTTTTTGTTAATTCTTTTTTTTGGAAAATCCCCTGCTTCGAAAATGTTGCTGCTCAAAGGACTGGGTACTTCAGTTTAAAATGGCATGGATTATGAGACCTTTTAAGACGCCCACGTGCATACCCATGTAGTATACTGTGTTAGAGAAAATGGACTTCATTTTAAGGCGGATATTCCAAAATTTTCACCAAAAACGTCCGGCCTGCTCACCATCTGTCGGGAGAAGCAAGGACGGGATGTGAAAACTTGTTTCACACGCCGATTTCCATCTAGATTTCACTGCCTGTTGCATGCGCTTGTTCAGGGGTGCGGCTATATACAGTGAGTGACCGATCTCATGAAATGTTGGCTGAAATTCTGAAACGCGATTTCGATTAAGAAGGATTACCTTAGGCGCGGTTGCAAAACTGATTTTCTTGCGGCATAATCCTATAATACTTCGGACTCGGTAGGATGTCGGCTTTTGAATACACTGCTTTTGAGTAGAAACCTCACTCAATAAAAAATGATGACTTGAGTATCGTGCATTTTTCTCATTGGTTTTTGATGGTCTTGCAAATTCGAATACATCTCGTAGAAACCATAAACAAAAATAGGCATTCTCTCAGTCGTTTGATATAAAATAACGTCATCCTTATATTTTATAAATGAAGAAGGAGTATAATTAGGTTTTAAAAAAGTTTCTAATTGTGAGATTTTTCAAGACCGCCAATGTCCATTTACATAGCATCGTACCTGTCTGTTTACCATTGCTTCTCATGAAATGTAGAACATGGTCCTCATCCATTGCAAAATTTCATGGACTCTGTATAATATCTTTTTAAAGGCATAGAGGAATATGTGATTTTCTTTACGCGGAGCGTATGCATGCACCTTGTAGACGGAAATCACTAAGCGCTAATGCAACGGATGATCAGGCTCCAAATTATTCGGAAATTAGAAAACTTATTTGAATCTTATTATACTTCTTAGGGTATAAAATATGTAGATGACGTAACTTTCTATCAAGCGACTGAAGGGAGGCCTATTTTTGTTTATGGTTTCTGTAAGATGTATTTGAATTTGCAAGACCATCAAAAACCAATGAGAAAAATGCACGCTACTTAAGCAGTCATTTTTTACTGAGTGCGGTTTCTACAGGAGGTCAGAAAGAAAAGCATTTAAAAGTTGACATCCTACCGAGGCCGAAACGTTATAAGATTATGCTGCAAGATAATCAATCTTACAACCCCGCCTAAGTAATCCCTCCTAGTCGAACGCATTTCATAATTTCAGTCAACATTTCATGAGATCGGTCACTCACTGTACATATTCGACAGCCTGGATAAGTACGGTTTCTACAGGAAATTGAAAAGAAGTGCATTTAAAAGCCGACATCCTGCCGAGTCCGAAATATTATAGGATTAGGCTGCAAGATAATCAGTATTACAACCGCGCCTAAGTAATCCTTCCTAATTGAAAACGCATTTCAGGATTTCAGTCAACATTTCATGAGATCGGTCGCTCACTGTAGGTACAGTCCCTTATGAAATTTCTGTAGTATGAGCAGAGACCCTAGAAACTTCAACGTCCGACACGTTATTTTATGTTAGCCGTCTGCCTCGACTCCGGATACGGATACATGTCCTAGGGACGTCGTAACATTATTTCGCAAGAATACACATTGTACAGGCTTAAAGATAAGTCCCGCCTGCCTCAGGCTGTTGAATACTACTCATAGATAAGGCAGGTGGTCTTAGAAGTCCTCCACTAGGACAATGGTATCATCCAAGTATATCAGGCAGGTTTTCGAAATAAACTGTGCAAGAACTTGGCTCATGGGCCACCGGAATATATGCTGGATGCACTGACCAAACCGAAGGGCGTGGTTTCAAACTCATGTAACCCTGAAGGTACTGAGAAAGTTGTTTCCTCTCGACTGGACGGCCTGCCAAACCCAGTGGGAAGAAAACTCGGCTACCCGAAAGGGCGTTGAGGGGTTGCGTTAATCCGAGGTAGGGAAAACGAATCCCTTGTTGTTACGTCATTCAGCTTGTGGCAGTCGACGCATGGCCGCAAAATTCTGACCTTCACGACTGGGGACGACCAGACCAAGGAGAATTAGATGGCCTCGTGATTTTCCAACTGAACATGTCCTCAATCATCGCGTTCAGCCATGGTCTGGTAACGGTCCAGGTAGGATCTTACTTGGCCCAGCTGTACTTGTATCTATTATATGCTGAGCGACAGTGGTTCTTCTGAGTGGATCAGCCCGTCCAGTCAAAGGTGTCCTTAAACTCTCCTATCAAATCATGTAATTTGTCGAGCTGTTCTTGTCCAGGGTCAATGGGAATGGGTCTCACACACGTTCTCCTACTCTAACTGACTACCAGGTAAATTAGCCCTAAAAGGCACTTTGGTACCGCCTGCGCAACTGTACAGTGCGTGACCAATCTCATGAAATGTTGGCCGAAATTCTGAAATGCGTTTTTGACAAGGTGGCGTTGTAATATTAATCATCATGTAGCATAATCCCATAGTGCATCGGGCTCGCCAAGATGTCGGCTTTTGAATGCTCTTCTTTTTAACCTCACACAGAAACCGTACTAAGTAAAAAATGACTGCTTAAGTAGCATGCATTTTCCACATTGCTCTTCAATGGTTTTATAAACTCAAACATATTGTGTGGAAAACATGCACAAAATATGCTTTCTTTTACTTGTTTGGTAGGAAATCACACTGTCTTCACATTTTATGCCCGAAGAAGGTGTATACTTAGGTTTTGAATAAGTCTCTCAATTCTCAAATAATTTTGGGCCTGATCAGCCTTTACATTAGCGTTTAGCGATTTCAGTCTACGAGCTGCATGCGTTCCGCGTAAGGAAAGTTACATATTTTTCTATGCATTTACAAAGAGACCATTTAGATTTCATAAAATTTTGCAATGGATGAGAACTATACTGTGCAATTCATGAGGAGCAGCGATAAACGGACAGGTACAATGCTGTGTGAATAGACATTGACCGAGCTTAAAAATCTCATAAGTAAAAACTTATTTGAAACTTAATTATACTCCTTTTTTGAGTGTAAAATATAAAGATAACATGATTATCTATCAACCGAGTGAAAGAAACCGTATTTTGTCCATGTTTTCTATAAAATATATTTGAATTTATAAGACCATTGAAAATCAATGTGAAGAATTCATACCACTTAAGTAGTCATTTTCTACCCAGTACGGTTTTTGTGGGAGGTCAAAAAGAAACGCATTCAAAAGCCGACGTCCTGGTGAGTCCGATGTACTATGGGATTATACTAAATGATTATTGGTATTGCAACGCCACCTTGTTAATCCTTCCTAGTCAAAAACGCATTTCAGAATTTCGGCCAACATTTCATGAGATTGGTCACGCACTGTATGAAGAAAGTCTGCACCCAGAATGCTGCCCCAGGCTATATCACAACGTACAAAAAATTTATGATTAAAAACGGCGTTGTTTAATTCTATGCAAATTTTATACCCGCATGCCGTGATGTGGCGCCATATGCCGTTTTCAGGCAAACTGTAAGCTTGTAATATTTTACTCTCGTCTGGAGCTGGTGAAACACTTTCTGATTCAACTGGGCACGGCAACTTGGCAGTTGTGGGGGAGACGATGGGGCATGGAATCTATACTTGCAACAAGCATGCCAGACAGAACAATGCACTTGCCGCTTTGCTCTTCTTCACCCGTGGTGTTCACATGAACACTGGACGAGTACAGGGGGGACAGGCCTGACGACCGCGTTGCTGCCTCCGGTCCCCACACCGAGGACAGAGAGAGGGGGACTGTGGAGGGCCCCACTGCTATCTGACAGCTTGTGTGCCAACATCGGAGGTTGGAAGTTGTCCCATGGCGAAGACATCGGCAAATGAGTCGATGGACGAAGGCCGATGGAAGTGGATGGTCACGTGAGAGAAAAGTGATTCGTAGCTCCCGCAGAAACTGTTGCCGCCAAGAAGCGTCTGCCTGTAAGTTGGAGGGCATGAGGTTTCAGCACAAGAGCATGACGAAGAATAACCTGGCCAGCAGTGCCTGGGACAGCTTTTATTGGTGGGCCCCTTTACCGCTGTGTAGGGATTGACCAAAAGTTATGCCTTAGACTCTTTCACTACTGAAATCCCAAGTAAGTAACATCGCATCCCCGAAATTTGTCCATGGCATTTTTGTCAGTTGTGCAAGGTTTTCTGTCCACTGCAAGGACACTGGTTGGTTCGTTCCATCCTATGGCATCTAAGAGCTAAACTGTTTTTGACCCCACCCTTAAAAACAAGGTTGCTAAGTTGCGTCTATAAAGGGGGTTCGCTGACCACCCCCGGTGAACGGCCTCACACTTCCAAGGACATATCCATGGGATTCTTTTAATATTTCCTGTCACGATCACCATATAAGTCCCTTACAGATTTCTAACTGCCCTCAGGTAAGGTTGAAGTTATCGATGAAATTTTTTGTCAGCGGGTGGAAGTTGGTGCAGTTAGCACTGCTATAGTTCTTTTGTCTGTACCGGCACTCTCTCTCACTTCTTCAGCCTCGTGATTCAATGGTGGGAGGACATCGTTATCCAGTCAGTGGACATCCGCAGTCCAACCGCCTGGTCTCCTCCTCATCCTCGTCACGATCTCTACAAAAGAACGACCTAGACAACCTTTTCTAGCACCTGTGTCATCCTTCGGGGTAACACCCGTGAGCCGCCGCCGACTCACGAGCATCTCCCCTTGTCTGTTGCCGTCCCCCACCCACCCACGACTGCTGCTGCCCCCGCCACATGGGCCTGGACCCCCGTCCTACCTGTACATACAAAAGTGCCTATTTGTAGATGTTTAAGAAGGCGTATTTTCCTACTCTCTCATGTTGCCTGCCTTTGTTCCTGCTCTTTCTGGATTCTATTCACTCTTGTTTCCTCCCCCCCCGCCCTTTTTTTCCTCCAAACTTTTGTCTAGCAGACCTTGCGGGGGGGGGGGCGGTGGTTGGGCGCGTCTGTGTTATGTGACACTTCATCGCTAGCTCGATGCCTTCGTTACGAACGGAGGATGCCACAGTGGGCATAACATGCTGGAGGGACAAGTGACTTACAGGCCCTTGCAGATGTCAACCTGGGGGTGGTTGCAGAGGTAGTCTTGTGCTAAATTCCGTAATTGCTTCGTTAGTGTAAGGTACAGAGAATTCTAAAGAGGTTTAAGTGCTTGGTGTAACACAGGACAGGATAGCGACTGGAAGGGCCTCGAGTGGGGCGTTGCTAGAAGATCGGCGCCGTCTGAGAACCTGGTAGGTTACCCTCCGACGACCATGCTGGGGGAAGTGATCAAAGCACTCATTTTGATCTTGGACTTCGAGGCAATCGAGGGAACTGTCATTGGCAGAATGGCATTACCGACAAAGACAAAGGAGACTGGAATGGCCGTTTCTGGCTTACTAGCCGTCGTCAGCCAGCCGTACCCAACCCCGATGTGTGAAACACCCGAGGCTCGAACTCGCGACCTGTTAGAAGTCCACGCCTCTAACCACCGGGCCACGAACCCGTTGCCCTGTCGGTTTCGGTCGGGAATATACAATGGTAGGGGGCGCTCACCGATCGTTAATACGGAACTCACTCGTTCCGTTGTGCCTTATGGACTGTCTGTCTAGGCCAACCAGCAGCCGCACGGGGGCGCATGATATGGGCAGAATGGCATTACCGACGAAGACAAGGGAGACTGGAATGGCCGTTTCTGGCTTATTTGCCGTCGTCAGCCGGTCATACCCAACCCCGAGGTGTAGAACACCCGAGGCTCATTAGCATATTTAACCACTAAACCACTGCGATTTTGGGGGGGGGGGGGTTGAGGCTGGAGTCCAGGCCACCACCACCTCCCCCCACCTTGTAGGGGAAAGACCGAGGCACACTTTGCGGACTTGGCTCGCAAGGCGGTTCCTAACGACCGAGTGTGAACTTGGTCGGGAGCAAATTATCGTGGGTAGGACGCAACTTTGCAGTGATTTACTGCTAGCACGATCTCATCAGGCTTGTGCAGTTGTCACGACAAGACGGGGAGGGAATGGGCAGTGGTGGACATCGTCGCTTGCGCTACTCGAACTGTTTTCCTGATGGGGGGGGGGCGGTGGGGTCAGTTCCGTTTTGGCGTGTAACACTCGCTCCCGTCGTCTGGTTTTGTGGACACTTGCCAATGGAATACAAGGCCCAGTACAGGGTTGAGGTAAAACTGTGCTTCCATGAACTTGCGTTATGACAAATGGATAATGTCTTTCAGTCGATGGCTGAATGATTACCCGGCCTTTGAAAGGTGAGGATGTAACACTGGGCATAGCATGTTGTAGGGACAAGTGACTTTGTTGTCACATCTTTTCAGATGTCAACCTGAGGGCGGTTGGACAGGTGGTATTGTGCTAAATTCCATAATTGCTTCGTCAGTGTAAGGTACGGAGAATCCAAAAGAGGTTTAAATGCTTGGTGCAACGCAGGACAGGATAGCACCTGGAAGGGTCTCGAGCGAGGCGCTTCTAGGGAGTCGGCATAGTCTGGTAACCCTCGGGGGACCATTTTGCATACCTTGCACATAGGTCACCCCCCCCCCCTGACGACCATGCTGGGAGAAGTGGTCGAAGCACTCATTTTGACCTTGGCCTCCAGATAATCGGTGGGGCTGTCACTGAAAAACTGCTGGAAGACTATAGCAGTGCGTAAGACTAGGTGGTTGAGGGGGGAGTTTGAATGGCCGCCCCCCCCCCTTGTGGGGAAATAACCGAGGTAGACTACAGACTTGGCTCTTATGTTGATTCCTAACAGCCAGGGCTTCAGGCTGCTGAAATCGCCAGGATTATCGCACGACAAGACGGGGAGGGCAACGGTGGACATCGTCGTTTGCGAGGGTCGAACTGTTTTTGCGTTAGATAGGGAGGAAGAGGGGGGTCAGTTCCGTTTTAGCGTGTAACACTAGCTCCGGTTGCCTCCATGTGGGAGTTGTTAAAATGCGACCGACTTTGTAAACGCTTACCAATGGAATACAAGCTCCAGTGTAAGTTGTGAGATTAAGCTGTGTTTCCATGAACTTGCATTATGGCACATGGGTAGTGTCTCTCAGTCGATGGCTATATGATAACCCGGCCTTTGAGGGGTGATGGTCCAGGCTAAATTTAGAGCCGCTGTCACCCCTCCGGGTGTTAAGGATTATACGTGTCTGCTACGCCGTGATTCAGCAAACCACGGCCCTCGCAGCCTGGTTTGCACCGGCAGTTCGCTACCACCTGTTTCCCTGCCCGTAGATGTGCTCCCGTTGGGTGTACAGGTCATGTGCATGGTTGCCCGATGATCCATGTTATCCTCTCTTGATCCACTTTTATTGGTTAAAATCCTGGTCAAGTGTCTGTTGGTAGGCCAAGGGGTAGGGCGGTAGGTCCAGGTGCAGCCCCGACCTAGCCAGCCACCTGCACCCTCTCCCGCCTTCGGTCTTCTTGACTTTGTCTTGACACCGGGCTCAGGCGGGGGAGGAGGAGAGAGTGCGATGGATGCTCTGCAAGTCTGCCACCACTGTAGACTAGTGCACGCAGAAGTCGTGCTTGCCCTCACCCTGTTCTGAACATCGTCGGTCCGAGATTTCCAAACTTAACGGAAAGCTCCGCAGTTTTGTCGGGTCATTGAACGTGATTGTGAAGCCCGTCCCATACAGTGCTTGAGCGATCTCATGAAATGGTAACGAAATTCTAAAGTGCGTTTTCGATTAGGAAGGATTCTAATATTAGTTATCGTGCGACATAGTCCTGTAGTATTTCGGGCTCGTCAGGATGTCGGCTTCTGAATGTACTTCTTTTCGACCTTCTGTGGGAACCACACCCAGTAAAAATGACCAACCAGCTTGCATTTTTCTCATTGATTTTCTGGTAGTTTATAAATTCAAGCATATTTTATAGAAAACATGCACAGAAATATGCGTCTTTTTACTCGTTTGGTAGAAAATCACATTGTCTTCACGTTTTGTACCTGAAGGAAGTGTATATTTAGGTTTTGAAAAAGTTTCCCAATTCCCGAGTAGCTTTGAGCCAGATAAGCCGTTGCATTGGCGTTTAGCGATTTCAGTCTACAAGGTGCATGCTTTCCGAGTAAGAAAGATCATATATTCCTTCATTCCTTTAAGAGGATACCGTGGCAGTTCATAAAATTCTGCAATGGATGCGTCAGAGTGTCACTGCGGCAGACGCCGAGGCGCATTGGGCGCGATCATTTCTAAGTCAGCTTTGTGATTGGTTAACTGGTTTAGATAGCTGTAATTGACTGAGAACCAGACTGCCACCGGAAAGCGCATGCAAGTACGTCTGTCAGGTGTCATTCCGGTCGTCTGTCAACGCCGCGGTTCCGAAAATGACTACTTCAGTAGTATGAAGATTTCAGTCGGTTATGGATGAACTAATAAATCTGGAAATATTTTGCAGAAAACGTGTAGGAAAGTGGGCTAGATCGCAGTTGGTAGCCAGGTCCCGTATTACAGATGGCGGGGGATTTGTTTACTGGGGTTATTTTGCGGGGCTCCATAATCACATCTGACCCATTTGGCTTCCGTTCGAGGTTAGGATTAGGGTGCCGGTTAATGGTTTCCGAATTTCGGTTTGGGGTTATGCCCTTAGGCTTAGGTTTTCGGGTTACGGTTAGGGTTTGAGCGTACGATTAGGTTTCCGTATTACGGTTAGGTTTTCCAGTTACGGCTATGTCTAAGGACTACGGTTGCGTTTACGATTTCGGTTAGGGTTAGGGTTAACGTTTAAAGTTGAGGTTAGGGTTAAGGCCGCCGTCCGCTTCCCCATTCCTAACTACCAACTGCGATCTAGCCGTAAAATGTAATTTCAGATACGCGTTTTCCGACAAATTACTTTTTACTCGAACTTACAAACATGGGATTTTTTAAAACCTTGCAGTATCTATTTAATTAGCATATAGTATTTGCAGTTTCATAAATGCTCCCCATAAAATATATACAACCTGATTTGTTTATGTTGCGAAATTTTACGAGCCCTGTACAGCATCCTCTAAATAACCCAGAGGAAAATTTGACTTTTCTTCAACGGAAAGTGTAGAGCCTGCTGCTTTGAAGCTCTAAATGCAAGTGCAACGGCAGGTTCGGTCCAAAATTATTCATTGATTTAAAAAGTTTCTTTATAATTTATTCAAGTACAAAATTTGAAGACGACTTGCTTCAACACGAAATGCGTGCAAGAAAGTATATTCCCGCAAAGTATATTTCCCACAAAGTATATTTGGGGTTGTAAAGGCGTCGAAAATCATCACCGAAGGACATACTACTCAAGTAGTCATCTTTTCCGGGATAGCCCCTACAGTCGGTCGGGAAGAAGCTCATTAAAATGCCGACATCCTGGAATAAAATATCTTGACACTATGCCTTATCTTAATCAATATTGCATTCCTAATGGAAAACACATTTCAGATTTTCGGTCAAAATTGCATTAAATACGGTGTTTTTGTTGTTTCAGCTTGTTTGTGAGACTAATGGATGATGAACCCACAGAAGCCCGTCTCTGTTAACTGCCCTGACATTCTGGGGTCCGCGCCGAGGAGCAGCTGAAACAGATCGAACATGACAGTACTCTCTTAGAGTGCCGGCACCAAGCCTTGTGTGCAGTAGGTGGGCTAACTCATGAAATGTCAAC